TTGAATATGGATTGATGTATTGATTCATTTTAGCGTTACTTGTCGCAGTAGAGAGATCGGAAGGTATTGGTTCGTGAAGCTTAACGCGCACTCTAGTTTGATCACCCTCGAGCATGTACAATGCGACAGTGCAGTTACATTGTAAGTTCTATTATGTATAAATCAAGAGAGCGACGGTAGCTTTACGGCTTGACGCGCTGCGCGACCGGCGACGAGGCGGCCGTGTTCGTCTTGGGCGAGTCGGTTTCGTGCACCGTACTCGATGCTTCGTCGTCCCCTTGTTCGCGGTTGGCGGGCTACCGGCGGATTTATACCTCTTCACATGTGGCAAAGAGAGAGAACGTACGAGGTTCATGGCCCAGTCGGCCGAGTCGAAGCGCTGACGATCGAGACGCTTGAGCAGGACGCTCTTGGCGAGATTCAAACACTAGATTCAGCATGGTGTCAGGACAGATAGCAATGATCGCGGCTACCTGGGGGTTGGCCATGCTGAGTCGGTTGGAGAGGTAGCTGAGGAGAATGCTGCGACTTGAAAAGTGATGTGCTGAAGGTGTCGAGAATCGGAGAGCTGGCATGTGTCGACGATCTTATCTTGGCGCTGATTGGCGGATGCCTCTGCCTTTTCTACCAATGCGTCCATCTAATTGGCTGAAATTAAAGCGAAGACGTGGGTAGCCTGTCATACTCGATGTTCTCGAACGTCTGTATCAAAGGAAAGAGGGACCCACGAGGTTCAACTGCGACGCCGGGACGAAGCCCACGGTGCCGGCTTTGCAGCGTTCGCGCGCCGCATCCACAACGCAAGTGAGTATACGTAGCGACGTGAGTCACGCAGTATCTTCATCCAACTCTGACAAAACGCCTCGCAAAGGCATTCTCAGGTTGCACCAACACCTCTGCAGAGTAGCCGGTGCCGGGCGCACCCAAGCATGACATGATCTCACGAGCTACTCTTATTGAGGACTTGGTGGCGTTGTGCGTGCGTCTAGTCGTGCTGGACGTGAGAAGAGCCGCGTACCGGTAGAATCTCCCTCTAACAATCGCTCAACAAGAAACCACCCACTTGAAAGGATCAAGGCTGCTACTACACTACTATTACATGTCGACACTACAGACATGTGCCGCAACCGATCGCTCTGTGGCATGTCGCGACGTCTTGCCCGTTTGCAGTTGAACAGCGACCGACTACGGGATAGTCGTAACCGACTAAACGTGGCAGAGACGTGGTTGGTGCATTTGGCGCCAAATTGGATCCACGTGGCGTGCCGAGAACCTCGTACCACAGAAGCGATTTCGCTCCGAGATGCTGCAGACATCCCCGTACGCGCCGCTGTACGGCTCCCAAGAGCAGCTGCCCGTCGTGCGCCGAAGCCGCCTGCAGACCTCGAAGCGTTGGCTCACGCACTATGGTCTTTTGATCATTATGGTCATGAACGTCGGGATCCTTGTCCTACTGGGATGGGACCTCCATACGTCGACGGCCAACACTGCCCGCACTTTTCCGACCGTAAATGTCGCCACAACACCCACGTAAGAATGCCGTCTCTTTTTCATTGAGACTCATCGCTGTCGTAGGGCCCCTAGAAGCACGATGACGACGGTCGTCGCACCAAACCTGCCCGTCAAGTTCAGCGTCGACCATGTCACGCCTTACAAGAACCAAGCCGGTCGCGGGACGTGCTGGGACTTTGGCACGATCGGACTCCTCGAACAGTCGTACCGGCGCCACGGCGTCTCGCAAGGCTGGCTCGCACCCCACGACTATGTAGCCTTCTCGGAACAAGTCGGTGCCTCTTCTCCAATCCAAGAACGGATTCCTCATGTCGGTAGGCGTACGGGATCGAAGTCGCGGCCATGTGCACAGGTCCAAGCACGTCGCCCCAGCAAAAAGCCTGTCGCATTGCCGACGACAATGTACATCTGTGCCCATTGAGAGCGTCGTGCAATGGTCGACTTTGAACTTGTAGATTTGGCGCAACTCGACCGAGGGCGGCGAAGTGCCACTGCTCTACTACCTGCAGCACGGCCTCCACGACGCCGTGTACCCCGACGCTGTCTGTCCGTACATCCCGACAATGGGCCACGACCTCGAATGCCCCGGCCTCGCCTTGCGCCAACAGGCCAACCCGCTTCGCTTTGCAGTCGAGGTATGAGAGCCCGTTCTTTTGTCAATTTGAAAAGGAATCATTCTAGTCGATGGAGACATACTATGAAGAAGCGACGATCAAGGCCCAACTCGTGGCGCGCGGAAGTGCCATGCCGTTTTCGACCAACATGGTGACCCTCACGCACTACCTCCCGTGCATTGGCGACCTCGTGACGGACCCACGCTGTGCGCCATCCGAGTGCCACCTCTGTCCGCCCGAGCTACCGCAAGCCACGTGCTGCATTCCGCAGTCCGGCGACAGCAGCGTGACAATGGAAGGCGAATTCGTGTCCCACTCGAGCATGGCCAGCGACGGCGGCCACGTCATGGTACCTTGGATGTGATCCGCTCATGACTGATTGCACATGGTATTAGCTGCTCGTGGGGTTCAACGACCTCTATGAGACGCGCGATGGCTTCACTGGTGGCTTCATCGTGAAAAACTCGTGGGCTGACGGTCGGTACCAAGGCAGTCATTCGATGCAGTACTGGATGCAGGCAAGTGGATGCTGGCAGATCCTATCTGAGTGTGCGGATCTAGAACATTTCCGAGTGGGAAGAGCGTATTCTGTGCCCCAACAGCTACAAGTACGTGCATTTCTGGTACCCACGCGATGCATTTCTACGTTGTCTAGTCCGTTCAACTGGTACATGGCGTCGGAGGAAGATGCGCTTGTCGGCATCGATGCCGTCTTGTCCGACGACTCGAAGCTCTACGCGCACCTCAACCAGATGCCACTGCATTTGCGCTGTAGCGACGCCGATGCATGCGACCCGTCGCTGGTCTACTTTGCGAAAAACCGCACCGACTATGGCGACCACATGTACATCATGTGCTTTTACGAGTACAACCCGTCGTACGGCACATCGAC